TTGTTGTTATGTGCCGTTGAGTCAGACCTGACTCATAGCGACCCCTCCTTGGGTTTCCGAGGCAGTATCACTACGGAAGTAGATTGCTCAGCCTTCCTTCAGAGGAGTGACTGGTGGGTTTGAACCGCCAGCCTTCTGGTTAGCAGTCAAGTGCCTTAGGCACTACGCTACCAGAGCTCATTACCTAAAAACTCCAGGGTGAGTGTGAACACCAGTCATTGTGTCTTCTTTCTTATTTTAATGGAAATACACGCACTCCTCACTTACCGACAGCTAGATTCCAAAGACCAAGTCTACTATGTGAAAATCAGCGTTATGGGAAAATGGAGGGTGACCACCTCAGATCACAAAATGGAGGGTGACCACTTCATTACACGACTGCGCCAAGAATCATGGCCTGGCCAAGCTGACACGTGATCGCAATCATCACAGTCTCAGCGTTATTCTCGCCCCGTGCCTTGGCCTTCGTTACTGCCAGTCATACATTGTTAATGCTCAGAATATTTGTACAGCAGACTTTTACTGTCGTCATAAATGCAAAACATCGTGTGATGCCATGCTCCATAAGTGAGGAGTAGGTGTAGTCAATGTAAAGCCACTTTATATGATTTTTATATGATAGCAATTGGGCGTTGGTCAATAGCCTAACTGTGTTTGGATAGTCTTTTCTCATCCTATTTCCTTGATTTTTTTTTTTTTTTTAATTGTGATTTGGGTGAAAGTTTACAGAGCAAATTCACTTTCCATACAGCAGTTCACACAGACGTTGTCTCATGACATTGACTACAGTTTACCCCAATGCAACAGCTCCCCTCCCACTTCCTCCCCATAGTCACCTCTTCCCTGTGTCCATCCCTCCATGCACTCCTGCCCCCTGACCTATCTCCCTGTGCAGACACAGCCCTTCTTTCTCCCATGATTGTTCTCTCCAAGGAGTGTATCTACCTCAGGTACATGTTATTTCCTTCATTGTTTGAACTTTCACTCTCTCCTGGCTCCGGGGCAGTTAATCAATGACAGGACTGACTTATGTCATGGGGCCGCCTTGATCCGGAACCCAGGAGTCCAGGTCTCTACTTTTTTCCTCCTTTGGGAAGCTGAGCATTATGGTTTCACAATCTGGCCGCTCCCAAAGTGCTTAAATAAATGACAATTCCCATGAACCTTAGGACAGAGGATTAGGAAGAGGAGCTATGTGCCCCCAAGGACTTCTGGGAAATGTAGTTTTCTCTCCAGCCCTAGCAAAGGATGACGGGAGGTGATCTGAGGTATCCTGGGTAGTCAGTCCATCCAAGGGAGCCAGGTGTCCAAGCCCGCTGCCCTTGTCTCTCCTCAGGGACTGGAATCGACATCCCTGTTCTCCTCCTCTTGATTGATGGTGATGAGAAGATGCTGAAGGTATGAGGACCTGGACTCCTGGGTCTAAGGGAGGAAAAGGCTGGGAGCCTCGCTGTTTGGGTCTAAGGGAGAAGGGGGCTGTGGACCTGGACTTCTGGGTCTTGGGGGGACTGGACTCCTGAGGCTTAGCGGAGGAAGAAGCTCGGGGCTTGGACTGCTGTTGGTGTGAAGACCTGGGTGTCCAGGCTAACGCTTCCTTTTATCGGGTAGCGGATCGAGGACGCCACCCAGGCCCAGCTCCCCTGTCTCCTGGTGGCCGGGTCCGGTGGTGCTGCGGACTGCCTGGCAGAGACCCTGGAGGACAGCTTGGCCTTGGGGAGTGGGGGGTCCAGGTGGCATGAAGCTCAAGATCGGATTAGACGCTTCTTCCCCAAAGGAGACCCTGAGGTGCTACAGGCTCAGGTGGGACGCAAGGGGCCGGATTCTGCGCTGGGAAAAGGCTGGCGATCTGGGCTCCCAGGTCTGAGGGGGGAGAGGTCTGGGAAACTGCACTCCAAGTTCTGGGGACAGACGGTGCTAGGCACCCAGACTGCTGGGTCCTGGAGGGCAGTGACCCCCTGTGTCCGGGGTGGGGAAGGCTCTGAGCCTGGACTTCCACTGGGCCTGCCCAGGAGGAGTGGGGCTGGGATACAGAGTTTGGTGTCTTGCAGGTGGAGAGGATCATGACCCGGAAAGAGCTGCTGACGGTCTATTCACTTGAGGATGGTCCGGAGGAATTTGAGACTATTGTTCTGAAGGCCCTTGTGAAGGGTAAGCCTCGTAGCCCCACATTCTCTTCTCTCTGCTCAACCTTGGACGCCATTCCTGGGTCAGGCACTGTTCCGGTCCCTGGTGCCGCTCTGACAGGAATATACCATACACGGGACGGCCTTAACAAACGGGAGTTTATTCTTACAATTTGGAGGCTTCAAGTTCAAGTGCCAGGCTCTAGGGGCTGGGGGAAAGCCCCTCAACCTTGGGGTCCAGCTCTGCCTCCTGCTCCCGGCCCACTGCAGCTAGAGGCATTTCTTCACTCAGACGGCTGCTGGCTGCTGAGGCTGAGAAGCCCCAAGGTTGACAAGTCAAAAGGCACAGTCCCGATGCTACCAAACCACAGGGCAGGCCATTAACTTAAGTCCATTGTAAGTCCCAAGGTTGGCAGAGCATGGCAGGCTACTGAGCAATGACACGGCTCCATGCAGGGTCCAAGGGTGCCAAAGGCTAGAGACCATTCCCAAGGCTTCTCCTTATACACAGGAAGCAGACCACATCCCAAAGGCAGCTACTCAGCTGCTCCCAGTAGATTCCACCGTGGAGCTGATTGCCAGTCTCATCATGGGGAATAACTACCATTAGCTGCCCAGCCACTCAACCAGGCCCAGCCAAGCTGACACACAAACATCACCACCACAGACAATGATCCTGCCTCTCTAACTAAACGTCACGCTCCGTTTCCTCTCCCTCCTGACGCCCTTCACTTCTGCAGTGTTTCTTGGGGTTTTGCATGGCTGTCTGGACAGCTTTCTCTGAATGCTTTTATTATATTTCAACATCTGCTTTTCCTCTGTTAAATCCATCTGTCCTTTCAACTTTCTATCCCTATATCATCAGTCTTTTTGCCTATTATTCCAATAGTCCCTCATTCGTTCATCCATCCATGATCCATCCATCAATCCTTCCATATACCTATCCATCTGTCCACTCATTTGTCCACTCACTCAACCTCTCTTCCGTCCACTTAGTCAACCAGTAGGTCATTCTTCTCTACTCATCCATCCGTCCATGCACCCGTCCATCCATCCATCATTTCATCCATCCCTTGTCTACCCCTTCACCCAACCCTTCTTCCGTCTCCCCACCCACCCACTCTTCCTTTTGCAAATGCCTCCAATATGTGCTAAACACTGAGAAAGAAGGGCACTGGAGGTGAACCAAAGACCTCTCTCCCAGTGAGGCATTCTTGATATTTCACTAGAAAAAGCAGCTTAGAGGAGTGCCCGATGAAAACCAAAGCAAGGAGCAAGATGGCCGCCAGGCAGAGGCTGGGAATGGGGCCTCATTTATTCATTCAACAAACATGAAAACTCCTGGGCTCCTGGCATCATTCTAGGCTCTGGAGGTGAAAGAAAACCCATTTCCTGCTCTCCAGGACCCCAGATCTTACTAGGGTTGTTTGGACACAACCTTAAGTAAAGTCTAAGATAAAAGCATGAGGGAGGAATCACTCTTAGTAAGTGGGATTTAAACTTGAAGAGTCAGTAATTAGGGTTTTCGTAAGATAAGGTGGGATAGAGAAGTGGCCAGGAGAATTCCTGGGGAACTGTGGAAATATGAGGACGGAGGGTCATTTTTGGTGTCCGGAGAATCTTACAGGGAAGACATCCATGTAGATAAAACTATCAAGAGGCACAGTGGCATCCATACGGCATTCTCAGCCCTAGAAGCCCACCTCAGTCTTATCTACCATGTCCTGTCTTTCGTACTTTGGTCATGTTGTTGTTGTTGTTGTTGTTATTTGCCGTCGAGTCGGCCCTGACTCATAGCAACCCCTCCTAGGGTTTCTGAGACAGTATCACTACAGAAGTAGATTGCCCAACCTTCCTTCCGAGGAGTGGCTGGTGGGTTTAAACCGCCAGCCTTCTGGTTAGCAGTCAAGTGCCTTAGGCACTGCACCACCAGAGCTCCCGGTCATGTTGTTAGAAGGGACCAGTCCCTGGAGAAAGATATCATGCTTGGTAAAGTCGAGGGCAGAGGAAGAGGGGAAGGCCCTCAACAAGGCGGATCGACACCGCCTGTGACGATGGGCTTAACCACGACAGGGACTGTGAGGATGGCTCAGGACGGGGCAGTGTTTCGCTCCGTCGTACATGGGAGCCATGATTCAGACCCGACTCCACGGCACCTAACACCACCACCAAGGTGCACCTCTGAGGGCACGGCTCACTCGGAGTGGTTATTTGTGTCTCGGCCACATTTCTCCTAGTAGAATGCGCACCTCGAGGGCAGGCAGTATGTCAGGTTTCTCTCTCCACCCCTCTCATTGCCCGGTCCAACCAACCTCAATAAATCCTAAATTCATAAAAGATTCTTTTTCCTTCTTCTTGGGGACTCTAGACTGCTGCTCCCTGGTCCTGAGTTGCATGACCTTACTGATACCTGTATCTTCGTCTCTTCATGCTGCTGTAACAGAAATACCCACAAGGGGGTGGCTTTAAGAAACAGAAACTTATTTTCTTGCAGTTTAGGAGGCTTGAAGTCTCAATTCAGAGTGATTGCTCTGGGGAAGCCTTCCCTCTGCTCTGGGGAAGGTCCTGTCTTAGCTTCTCTTGTCCTCTTCTTGATGCCTGATGTACTCTATATTTCAAACGTGACTGCCTTAAGATATAACTGCACTGCTAAGACCTCACTAATAACACAGAAAATAAGATTACATCCACAAGTGTGGTTCCAACTCATAGCAACCCATGTGACTGAGTCGAACAGCCCCATAAGGTTTCCTGGGCTGTAATCTTTACAGGAGCAGATCACCAGGTCTGGGGATGGCTGGTGGGTTTGAACCATGGACCTTTTGGTTCGCAGCTGAGTGTTTAACCATTGCACCACCAGGGCTCCTTTCCACAGGTATTGTTGTGGTTGTTTGCCATAGAGTCGGACCCGACTCAAGCGACCCCTCCTTGGGTTTCTGATGCAGTATCACTACCGAAGTAGATTGCCCAACCTTCCTTCCGAGGAGTGGCTGGTGGGTTTGAACCGCCAGCCTTCTGGTTAGCAGTCAAGTGCCTTAGGCACTACACCACCAGAGCTCCTACCTTCACAGAAGCAAAGCCCAAACCAAACCCAGTGCCTGGAGGGGATTCTGACCCACAGCGCCCCTAGAGGACACAGTGGAACTGCACCACAGGGTCTCCAAGGCTGTCAGTCTTTATGGGAGCAAAGCCCAAACCACACCCACTGGAAGCAAAGCCCAAACCAAAGTCACTGTCATTGACTTGACTTGACTCATAGCGACCCCTCCTTGGGTTTCCGAGGCAGTATCACTACCGAAGTAGATTGCCCAACCTTCCTTCCGAGGAGTGGCTGGTGGGTTTGAACCGCTAGCCTTCTGGTTAGCAGTCAAGTGCCTTAGGCACTATGCTACCAGAGTTCCTCCACAGGTATAGACATTAGTATTTTGGGGTATACAATTTAGTCCATAACATGCTGGTAATAACCTGACTTCTTAAAGACCCCAGGCTCTGCCCAATAATACCTCCCTTATGTTATGTTTTAAGGCGCTCTGGTTGCATAGTGGGTAAGGCATTTGGCTGCTACTCAGAAGGTGGGCAGTTCAAACCCACCGCAGGAGGAAGATGAGGCAATCTACTTCCGTAAAGATTGACAGCCTTGGAAACCCAGTGGAGGGGTTGCTATGAGTTGGGATGGTCTTGATGGCAGTGGGTTTGGTTTTTGGTTTATGTTTAATGTCTGCCAATCCATATAGAAGCAGACACCCATCGGATATTACCAGCCTCCTCCTAACTTCTTGCCCTGCCCCCATCCTTCCAGCCTGTGGGAGCTCCGAGGCCTCGGCTTACCTGGATGAGCTGCGTTTGGCTGTGGCTTGGAACCGCGTGGACATTGCGCAGAGCGAACTCTTCCGCGGGGACATTCAGTGGCGGGTGAGGGGCCAGGACTTGGGTGGCGGGGTGGGTCTGTGGTTGGGGGTTCTGACAAGGGGGGTGGGCTCTTCTTCCTCCCTGACTTCTCTGACACCTGGCCTGCCTCCCGTTGCGGCTGTCCATCCATCTTTGACTGTCAGTGCGCCTTCACCTAGTGTCCTCGCTCCTCATCCATGCACCATGCACACGGCGTTCATAGCCCTGCGCCCCCATCTCCTCTCCTTGACCTCTGACCTCACGTGGGCTTCTGCCTCTCTGCTCTCCGCCTCCATTCATCCCGGCCTATAAGTCCGTCCACTTGGAGGCCTCGCTCCTGGACGCCCTCCTGAACGACCGGCCCGAGTTCGTTCGCCTGCTCATCTCCCGCGGCCTCAGCCTAGGCCACTTCCTGACGCCAGCGCGCCTGGCCCAGCTGTACAGCGTGACACCTCCCCACTCGGTGGTGCGCCACCTTCTGGGCCTGACGTCCCACGGCGCAGGCGGAGGCCTTAAAGGCTCTGGGGAGGCCCCGCCCCCTGACGTGGGGCACGCGCTGCGACTGCTGCTGGGGGAAATGTGTGCACCGAGGTACCAAGCTGGGAGCGCCGAGGACCACGGCTGCCCGGAGAGTGTAAGGACCCTACGGCGGTGGGGCGGGGCTGGATCAGGGAGGGAGTGTGGTCATAGTCGGGGTGTGGCTGATCCAGGGGCGGGGCTGGTGGGGCGGAGCTCAACATTGGTGGTGGTGGTTGTTGGTGATGCGGAACAGGGTCATGATCACGCCCTCACCACGCCCCCTCACCACGCCCCCTCACCACGCCCCCTCACCACGCCCCCTCACCACGCCCCCTCACCACGCCCCCTCACCACGCCTTTCCTGCTTGCAGTGGTACACGCTGTCAGCAAGGGTGAGCTCAGACCTCAGGCTGGACGCTATCCTCGGGCAGGCCCCCTGGAGTGACCTGCTGCTTTGGGCACTGCTCTTGAACAGGGCCCAGATGGCTCTGTACTTCTGGGAGATGGTGAGTGCTAACCCTGGTCTCTGGTCCTAGGCTCTCCCACTGCCGTTTCCTGTCTGCTTACCAGACCCCAACCCCCGTAGTAGGAGCCCTGACACCTGGCATCACCAGCTCCCACCGCGCCCTCAGTTTCTGGTATATGACCACAATTACTGCTGCTTCTGACCCACTTCCTTCTTCTGCTTCTTCTTCCTGCCCTCCTCCTTCTTCCTTCCTCTTCCTCCTCCTCCTCCTTCATCCTGTGCAGTTTTTGTAACTTGCTCTTTCAATGAACACTCTATTGGGCATTTTCCCATGTCCATAACTCACTGCCATCCAGTCAATTCTGACTCATAGTGGCCTTAGAGAACAGAGCTGTTGACTGCCATCTTTTGAGTGGTCACAGCTGTTTGTTTCCTAAAACCCCAACAAGTAAACCCACTGCCACTGAGATAGCATCCCTATAGGATAGGGTAGAATTGCCCCACAGGGTGTCGAAGGCTGTCAATCTACAGAAGCCAAGCCCAAACCACACCCACTGCTGTGAAGTCCATTGTAACCCCAATCGCCCCTAGAGGACAGAGTAAAACTGCCCCACAGGGTGTCGAAGGCTGTCAATCTACAGAAGCCAAGCCCAAACCACACCCACTGCTGTGAAGTCCATTGTAACCCCAATCGCCCCTAGAGGACAGAGTAAAACTGCCCCACAGGGTGTCGAAGGCTGTAGATCTTTGCGGAAGCAGACCGTGTTTTCCTCCAGAGCCTTGGATAAAGCCAGTGTTTCAGTCAGCAGCCCAGTGCTGTAACCACAGGTCCTACAGAGCTCCTCGTTTGTTTCCTACTCAGTTCAAGATACCACAGGGCATTGGATCTGGTCATCTTTACTGGTAATGCCTCCCCAGCCCTGGTTTACCACGGCAATTACTAAACTGCTTTGAACCAGTTCGAAGTCCTGGACTTTATCTTACAGCTGATAGGGAGTCATTGAAACATCGTTACAATTGCAATGTAGATGGATCACTGGGACTGCAGAGTAGAGGGGGACAAAAGTAGGACCAGGGAGCCAGTTCAAAAGGTGAAGTTGGGGCCCGCTAGGCAACCAGGATGCGGTCCTAGACTAAGACAAGTGGGATAGAGGTGTTGAACACCTTGGGGAAGTGTGTGAGGAAGAGGTAAGAGACTTGAATACAATCCAAGATGGTGCCTACTTTTTAAATTTTATTGTGATTTGGGTGAAAGTTTACAGAGCAAATTCATTGTCCGTACAGCAGTTCACATACACTTTGTCTCATGACATTGACCACGAGCTCCCACAATGCAACAGCTCCCCTCCCACTTCCTCCCCGTAGTCACCTCCTCCCTGTGTCCTTCCCTCCCCTGCACTCCCGCACCCCGAGCTGTCTCCCTGTGCACACACAGCCCTTCTGTTCTCCCATGATTGAGCTCTCCAAGGAGGGTATCTGCCTGATGGAAATGTTCAGCTCCTGTGTCTGTCTTTGGTTTGGCTGGAAGCCACGGGAGGGGGTTCAGCTGCAGACCTGAAGGGCAGCTAGGGGCCATACTGTCAGGGTCCCACCAGGCTCTTTCGGACCAGCAAACCTGGTCCTTTTTTCAGGATGGAGCCTACTTTAATTTACAGAAATGGCTTAAGTGTTGTTCAGCTGACCTGTTCTCAGCCTATCAGCCTATGGGCTTAATAGAGACTTTTGTGGTTGAGTTGTTGGAGTTCTTTATATATTCTGGATACTAGACTTTTATCAGATACATTATTTATAAATCTTTTCTGCCATTTTTGGGTTGCTTTTTCATTCTCTTGATAGTATTGTTTGATAAATTTTGGTGAAGTTCTTTTTTTTTCCCCCTTATGTTGCTTGCTCTGGTAGGGTAGTGCCTGAGGCACTTGACTGCTAACCAGAAGGCTGGCGGTTCAAACCCACCAGCCACTCCTCAGAAGGAAGGTTGGGCAATCTACTTCCATAGTGATACTTCCTCAGAAATCCAAGGAGGGGT